TAAGTCTTTGTTTGGACTGGTATGCGCAGGCATACCAATGATGACGGCATTGATGAGAAATGACGTTTATTATTACGAGAACGAAAGGAACGATAAAGGCGACTTCGCTGAAAGCTATGAGTAAACTTTAATGTGTTGGCATCGAACAGTGACTGCAGTTGACTTTGAAAAATTATGTGAATTGTATGACTCAATCTCTCTAAGTGAAATTGCTTTTAAAGGATTTTATGTCTAAAATTTTTTGAATACAAGAGATAACATTTAATTTCACTAACTTATTTCTATTTCTATTCGGTATTACTTAAAACGACTGCAAATACTTTATTAAAGAAGGGTTAATTTTATCTTTGTGGGCTTAAGATGCTTTACCATAGTTATATATATGGTGGGACGTTGGGACAGTGCACTGTCCAACAAGTGGCCCCACGGAAGTGAAAGATTAGTCGAAGTAGACCACGAAACGACTTGGGTCCTTTTTCGTCCTTCGATTCTCGGATGTTGTTATTGAGTTAAAGCTGGAGTGGCTTCCATTCGCATAACTACATCTTTTGTTAATGCAAGCATCTTATTTAGTTTGAGGTTTCCTGCCAAGTCGTCACCAACCCAATGGTGTCCCAAGACAGTCCTCCTCCTACTTGCCAGTGCTGGACTTTGGCACAATATATGCACCGCTGTCTCCTTTTCTTCTAGACATAGTCTGCAAGTGTCTTCCTCAGCAAGAGTTATCTTTTTGAGGTGATACTTGAAGTTGCCATGTCCAGTAATTAGTGAGGTCAGCCAGCTTAGAGTGCTTCGTGAATACCTAAGCACTTTTATCGCTTCCCTGGCCTACAGTTTAGGTAACATGAGTTACATTATTAATAACATTTTTAATGAAATTGATTTATTAATATTATAAATAATAATACAAATCACGAGTGCCAGTCTTAATTGTAACTCTATACCTATAACTGTATAATGAAATAAAATAAAAAATATATGTTTTTACACTGTGTATATGCATGTGCTGTATAGAATTGACATTGATAAGCATTGATATTTATTAGATACAAGATATACACTTATTTAACTTTTGCCCGTACATTATTAAGATACTTTCTCTACTGTCATGTGTTTCAATTTCATTTTTTTTTAATAGGTTAAGATACTCGTGTTATGTATTATTCAAACTAGATAACTGTATACTATTTTGGTAGCTCAGAAAATAATTAAGCATAAACTGAAGTGCTATTAAGTGATTGGGCGATACTAAAAGTATCAGCGGTATTTCTGAACATTTTTTAAAAAAATTTTCTTTATTGAAAATGAATTTTAATCCAGCCATTTTTCTGGCTTCATAACATATATCTATCGATATAAAACAACTGTGGCTTAAAGTCGTTTTTGGATAGACATCAACCTTTGACCAAATAAGTATGCTTCGGATGTTCCCGCATTTGAAACAATTATCACCGCTCTTAATGATTTCTTTAAAAAATGACTCACTTTCATTGCATTTCAGCAGTGAATTTGACTGATTGTTATTCGGAAAAATAAATATAGTCTGAATATAGTCTGAAATGTCGTCATCCAGATGCATATTTGTTTCACATAATGTGATTAGTGTTGACAGATGTATGGGTACCAACACTCACCCTATACTATATGTATTATTTCCTATAACCCATTAAGTAAATATAAAATTTTAAGTTTTTATAATTATAACATATGTATATAAAAAATATATGATAATTATCTTTCTTTATTTATTAGCATACTTTTTCAATTAAATTCCATTTTCATTGCTCAGATAAATCATTTGCTTTCCCTACAAGTACTCGTAATAATCATAAATACTCTATATATCACCGGTAAAAATCTTATACCTCAACTCATAATAATCAATTTTCGCTTAAGCGCCTTTCACTGTTATGCAAATAATATTCGCAATAACGTTAAAATCCTTCGACGTATTTCCTTCTTTAATTTCCAGAATGAACCATTTTGGAACTTAAAAGTAACTGCCTTTTTACAATCGAATACCTTTGAGGCGAAATATTAGAAAATTATGCAAAGCAATTGGGAAAAAATTAGCTTAACATTCCTTGGCACAGTTGACTCGGTACTGGCGCAAGACCATTAACGGCAGAGGTTTGCAAAACGACAAATAATGTGCCTGGCAAAATATTTCAATGGCTTTCATATGCAGGACGAGCTCTCCACTCAGCAATACTCGTATTAACGTAAATTGCAGCTCATAAAACTTCAAAATTCAGTACTAAATTCGAATAAGTGTGGGGGAAAAAAATTGAAAAATCAAAACGAAACCAATAAAAATTGTGTGCAAGAGAGAAGATGGCAGAATAAAAACAAAAGATACCTAAAATATGGCAAAATGATTTCCAACGAATTTCAATTCGGAATATATGAGTCTACGTTACTGGAGTGTGAAATAGACACAATGAAGAGGCTCAACGGCTCGGCCTCACTTCATTGTTAGGGCGCACAGAATGCGTTACCAAAAATCAAAACACGAAGTCACAACAAAAACAAATTTAAACAGTTTAATGTATGGAACGAATGTATGCAAAGGACATGTTCGGCTGTGTGCCCAAAACACTCATTCACAATTCACAAACCCCACGCAACTTACACGCACAGAAGCACGCCGCACTTTAGTATGTCCCAAATACGTTCCGAACAGTGCAAGGGCACAACAAAGTCCTACCGTGCAGTACTGGGTCGATATATATTCAGCATTTGGTATTTCGAAGACACAAACGTTGTGCTTTAATGGCACAGTTATGTGTGTACTCACATATAGGAGTACAACAATTTGTGTAACGCTCGGTCCATGTAGATGTGAGGCGTGCAAGCTTATGCTCGTTTGCAAATTTGTTTAAAATTTATCTCCGCAGCACTTCTTACAAGCTTTGAGGCATTTTGGCATATATTTCTTTACGAGAATTTTTCCTCAATTGTGCCAAAATGTGTCTATGTGCTTGTTTTTTTACTATGAATATGCGATGTTAGTGTACTTTGTACGTATTAGCCATAGGCTTGAATGAAAATTAATGTCATAACTCGTCAAATTAAAATTTTAAGTGGTAGAAGAATCATTAAGTATACCAACTGCAGTAATGTGCATGACAGGTAGCCTAAGTTTGTAAAAATGTAAGTAAAGAAATAGAAATAATAAAAAAATAGATACCGTAGATCATAAAATCGTTTTTTGTAAGTTTTATACTTATTTTAGGTATTTAAGGTTTACAGTGTTCTACACATCTAAATCTCTGGAGACAATCTGTGATCCAGATGCATATTAAAACTATTGATAAATCTTACAGAATTGTTGGTTGCAATGATCTATGATATCTATTGTATAAACTTTCGAAAATCTGGTAATATAAACCGGGTTTACATTAAAGTAATATGAAGTTATTGCACTCAGGTCTTGATAATCGCACAGAACCTGTAAAGAAGATTGGTAAAGGTTTCATTTTATATATTAAAAATCTACAGCGGACTGCAGTGTTTATTTTAATTTTATAGTTAACAGGAAGATCTCTAGTTATGGTAGAAAGGTGTTTATATATTTTTATAAGCTTGATAAGTCGAATCGTTTTCACGATACTTATCTAAAGTATACAATTCGTTATCTTGTACTCATTACGTACTCGTAGTTTTTGCCTTCGTTGTGCAGTTGGTTATTCTATTGTACATCTGTCGTTGTTACTTCGCGGTGGACGAATTTTTTCTTTCTTTCACATGTGAGCACTCATAGAGCTGCAAAGAGTTACTCATTGTACTCATTGTATACACTCATTGTGCATAGAATACTTTTCTTATATTGCTACTCATACGCACTTATATCCATGGTTACCAGATGTGGTACTTTAGTATCAAAATTGGTACTCTGGTACTCGTTTTTAGAAAATTGTATTTTTTTGAAGCGCGAACATTATTGTACATACTATTATATTATCCAATTAAATTTATTTATAGATGCAATTGTGCACTATGAAACTTATATAATTTTATGTATTGATTTAGTAAAAATATTGAGGCTGCAAAAGGTAAAAGAAATTTTCGATCGGAATGGCGTGCTTACCAAAATTTTGGAGAGCACATGATTCGATTTCTCGCCAACATGTTGTGAATGATAGTCTATGACCTAAAAACTTTAATTTGTCACTCAAGAGCATAATGTTGCATTAACACAACTAACAGCGTGCGTAAACACCCTTATTCTTAAAAAATTTTGCTTGAATGACAACGCTTGAATGTGAGCATGTTTAAGTACGGTCGCTAGAATAAATTTGAGTAAGCGAGAGCGTAACTTGAATGACATTCAAACATGATAGTCTGCACCGCGCTTAAGTTTTAATGAGTCGCACATGAGAAGAATGTAAGTGTGAGTTCATGCGATGGAACAGAAGTGAAAGAGACAGAAATTAGAGTAAATAAAATGCAGCCAATACTTAAGTATTACTCCAGGGTTGATACTTATATCACTTTTTCAGTGAGCACTCTTCTTATGAATTCTTCTGTATATCCTCTGTATCTAATTTTTGATTTAATCAAATGGAGGATTGCAAAATAATTTCTTTTAAATCCAGCCAAATCGAGTCTTCACATGCTTGGTAGAGTAATTTGATATTGAGTCCATAGAAAGTAATTGTTGAAAATATATATATGATTATATATGAGTAGTATGTACTGAGAATTTTATGTCAAAATATATGAAGACGTGTTTGTAGCTTGAAGAAATTGATTATAAGATAACTAATTGTCTGAGGTTTAAAAAAACTTTAATAAAGCTAAAACCTTATGTACTGCTAATTTCAAATCAAAAATATGAATATATAATTTTAAGATATATTTATGAGCATGATTACTTATGACTATATATACCATATTTATTCAAATAAAAATTGTATTTTTTTGATTCCTAACTATTTAAATTTATTAAATACTAAACATTTTGTGTATTTTTTCTATTTCATTTATAATATTTTTAGCAGGCCGCAATAATGAAATGGCGACTTGCGGTGATATATCGATGATCTCACCACCATCGTCTTCCATTTCGAACGGCCAAGATCCTTTTGGACAGTTGCCGCCGCTGCCACCGCCATTGCGTTCTACACAAGTACTTCAACCGTTGACGGTTTTTCCAGGTGTGCTAACTTTTCTAAAATGTTTTTACCTGAGTTCTTGTAGGTTTTCGTTTTAATGTGTATCACAAAATGTTTTTATATGGTTTTGTTTTTGCATTTTCCAAAAAAAATTACTTACAAAACAGTTCATTTTTTTACTTGTAGTTTCCTTTAAATCAAGGTATTTTCTTATTCAGTTTTTGTGTCTATTAGATTGCAAGCGATTTTTATTTTTTATATCTATAATTGTATATTACATTCGCTTTCCTATTTGCTATAGCAAATCCAGCTAAATTTTTATTTTAAGTTTTCCTTAGTAAGTTTTTTTTAGTGTGTACTTTTTGAAGTTTCCTTTGACTTTTTGAAATTACCATTTTATAAACATTAATTATTGAACATCTTGAATGCATTGATTAAAAATTATTTTAATTGCAATTGTTTGGTATTTGTTTGCATCTCATAAATTCACACATTTCCATGTAAAACTCAAAACAGCAGAAAATGGAGAGCCACATCGAGACTGTTGTGGTCACTAGCACAGACACTCACTTTACGTCTATTTTTATTACAAGATTTAATATAATTTTCTTATACATTTATTCGATTTTATATTGTACTCTTAGTTAATCTTTTATGTTTTTACTGTAAGTGAAGTTTTTATTTTAAATGGAAGAAGGATAAATATTTATGTGTAGCGGTGGATAATGCTTTTGCAAGTCAGTTTTTTGGTAAACCAACAACAGCAAAATTCCAAGCTTATATATCACATGTTAAGCACGGCGTTGGATCAGGTGTTTAAAACGTGACTTCAATTTAACAGGGTTGAACCCTTAGTACTTGCAGTCAAAAAACTATATAAGAACAATTAATTCCATAGAGCCATGTTATGTAGAGTGTCTCGGACAGGGCATAAGTAAAATTGTTATTATTTTCAATGCAAATTATTAAATTGAGATTGAGAGCAAAAATAATATGTCGGTTCAAATTCCGGCATTAGAGTCGAAGTATTTTTGCCTCTGCACTAAGGCAAAGCAGTGTTGTTTAGTAATAAATTTCACAATTTGCGCCTTTTAGGAGCAAATGAATCCAATTTCAGTACAAATACAAAACAGTCTGTATAACATACATTTTCGGCATAGCCCGAAAAAGACAATTTTCCGTGCCCGAGATGTTCTACATAACTTGGCCCCTAGATGGTTTTCAGAGATCACTGATGATGGGTGTCTCTGAGTTTTTTTTTTGTCATTCATTACTACTCGTATTTATCCTTTTTCTTCAGAATTATATTTTTATTGTTGATTTTTTTTAAAAAAAATAATTTTATTAAATTATTCTTGAATATTTTTTTTTGTAATAATTTTGTGTACATCTTGCACTCAACACAAAAACCTCAGATACATTTTTGCTTAGCATTTTTGATTTCAGTTGTTCTCGAAATCATCAAAACTGTGCACATTTCTTCTCCTCATTTTCACTTTCAAATGAAATTTGCAGTTTGCTTTTACGACAAAGTATCTTTAACAAAACACTTACATAGATCTGGAAGATACATATACTCGTATTTGTTTGTGTGTAAATTGAAATGACTGCATTCGAAAACTCTTACGTATGAAATGCAGCATTTTATTTGGACATTTTTGAAAAGTTTGTATTTCAGAATTTTTTTTGAAACTTTCTCAAACTCCTTGTAATTTGTGCTCATACAATTTTTTCTTAATTACTTAATTAAGCTTACAGTTCTTTATGTACATTTTCTTTATAAAAATAGTTAAATTCTTTTACAATATAAACAAAAATGCTAACAACAAACAAACAATTTTATTTTCTTTCTATTTTTTCTTTACGAAATGCAATAACTAAAACAATTACCAAAAAATTGTGTCCTTAAAAAATGTTATTCTATTAATAAATAAATGACGACAAAAAATAAAAAAAATTTTAATTAAAACAAAAAATAATATTAAATTAAATTATACTTTCGAGTGGCTTTAACGTTCATTTTTTTGTAGAGTGAGTATCTAAAGGCAATTCAAATAAAGTAACTATTATATTATTAATTTCATAACTATTATAATTACATATAATTAAAATAAGTTCTTAATTTAATCTTTTGCTTTTTTCATTTCATTTATGATATTGTGTTTTTTGATCTTGAATGTAAATAACAAATACAAATATAAATATAAATAATATAAATATAAATAAAAATGTAAATGAAATTGAAATAATTTTTAATTTATTAATGAAAATGGAAATGAAAATTGAAATTAAAATTAAAATAAAATTTTGTGTTTGTGTTTGTGTGCGTGCGCGTTTAAAAAGTGTCCAATTTGAGTGAAGATTCTTACGATTATGTTTTTGGTGGTCGACGTAAGACCCCGCCTGCAACCACAACACTTAAGCTGACCTCACCTCCGATACGACTGCGTCCACAAGGTAAGTTATTCATTCGAAATGTGTTGCTGCAAAGCCTTGCTTTGTTGTTGTTAAAAATTATAATAAATTACAATTTTTTCTCTCCTTCATTTCTCTTTCAACTGCATTCAATTGCGTTCAATCTCAACGTTATTTTCAACTTCATTTACTTATCCTTAACTGCACAACTGCACTATGTATGGACTGCATTTAAATTTGGATTGGTTGGTTGGTTCAGATACTTGCAATCGTGGTGGTAACATAATTAACGGCCGTTTTTATCGTCATTCATTCAGTTATGCCCCGAAACGTTCGAGGCACGTGAACAGCGAACGTGACGCAAATCGTGAATCTAGATTGAGATGTCATGGCGAGGATGAAGCAACCCTGCGGCAATTGCTTCTCGAGTATGTATCGTGATTTGCTCTTCTTTCATTTTTTCCTTTCATTTATTTCATTTATTTCATGTATTTTTTCAAACAAATATTTACTAACTTTTTACTCGAGAATTTTGCATAAAGCATTTTATATTGTTTCCTTTTGGGTTTTTTTTTACTAGTGTACGAGTAAAGTATTTATTGTTTTTATGTATCATGTAAATTTTTTATAAAACCATAATTAAATATTTCATAATTACTATCTGCATTCTTATATACTACATTTCTCTTTTATAAAACATTTAGTTTAAAAGTAAGATAAGAGATAAATTAATTTAAAATTAAATGTTGAAATATGTGTCTCTTTCACATAATGAAACTTAGTAAAAAATTTAATAAAAACATTAATTGAAGTAATTTTTTAGTAATTTTTAAAGTTAACTATTATTGGCTCTCATATGTGCAGGTTAAACATAAACTAACATAAACTCCATGCCTATTTGTGCGCACTACACTGCGTATGAGTTACGTCAATATTCTAGAAAATTGTGCGACAATTTGATTCCAATGAATCAAATGGATATATTTTCTTATTATCGCAACTTACATAAACACACTTCTTCATGGAAAGCGTATACATTAAAAATTATTTAAACTTAATGTGAATGATTGAAGTTGCTTTATTTGAGAATATTTTAGTGGTAAAATGATTTTATTAATCGTTATTTATTTGCGTTAAAAGGTTTTTGCATCAAATATATATGTACCATATATACGACAAGGTGAAGAACTGATAAAGCTGTAGATATAGAGGATTATCTCAAATATTATGAACAGTTTAATATTAATTTTGGGCCCTTTTTCAACTGTGTCTTTATTTGAATCACAAATTAAATTGGATTTGTTTAAAGGTACTGGAAAGATCTGTGTAAGAGATAAAGCAGATAGCTATAAAAACTGCATATAATGTAGACACTCAGAGAACACATACTGCAGTGCATTCATATTTATCTGAATATTTTATGCAATATAAAAAAAGGGAGACATATTATCTACAAACAGTTTTTATTTGTCATTTTATTGGTCAAATAAAAAGCTTTTAGAATTTTTATTTTTATTAAATATCCAGGTAAAACCAAATAGCTTTTACGATTTAACATCTATTCAAAAATTCAAAATATGAAGTATTAGATTTTCCCATTTCAGTTGTCATTAAGCAAATACTTTACATTTTGTTAGGTTTCTCTAATGATAGTGATTAATACAGTTTATAAAATCTGTTTGTCTTTGAACAAAGTACCAAATCATACTAATAGTACCTTTTTTAGTTCAACAAAGTCCAGTTCAGAAAATGGACAAAATGAAAATTTTCTTAAATTTAAGATTAAAAGAAAGATATTATATAAAACATTTATATTTATTTTACAAAATAGCATTCTTGATCTTTAAAAAAAAATTGTTAAAATTACTACGTAAAAATTTAGTTGTTTCATTGTCAAAACATCGCTTCATTGAGAAGCGATCTCTATGTGTCAAGAAACTTTAATAACCGATTTAGTTCGGCATTCTGTTTACGAAGTGCCTCGCATTCCTTATCCAATTTTGCACGTTGTTGTAAGACTTGCACATAATGATTGAGTCCATGATCCAAGCACTTCCATAGGTTTTCCTTTTCCGGTGTAAAATAGGTGGAGAGCTGAGCCCAAAACTTTTCTATATCATGCTTTTGAACTTGTATTAAATTTGGTAAAGTCGATCGTCGCCTTATGTCGGCTCTCATTGCCTGAGTATATGGCGAAGAGTTGCGTACGTATTTTGCAAAACGATTGAGTGCAGTTAATGTAAATATTGGTTCCATTACTAAGTGATGGTCCACACAACCTTTTTTAATTTTGGTTGGTGCTTCAGTTCGGAGATATGTGTCTCTGCTGTCACCAATGAGGAACAGATCAGCAATGGCTCTTTTGCTCGGACCTGAAGAACAATTAGGACAGTAAGAATATGGTGTGAAGAATTTCGTCAAGGATTTTATCATATTTTCATTTTTAATACAAAGTGCTTTACATATTTGAGTAATGGTCACAAGACGTTGATCTCCTTCACCATACGGCTCCAAAGCTTTTAGAATATTTTCTTCAACTATAAAACCTCCACGATTCGAAAACTGTTTTAATGTTTCTAGTAAATTCTTCTTTTCCATTTCATCTAATTCAATGTCGAAAAACATGTCTTGTGTTTCTGGAGTCTTTTTTATTATATGTTTTGGTTTGTTAATATCGGTAAGATCGAATTCGGGGTTTTCCCATGGTAAACCTAACATTTGCTCATATATTACCCTCTCCACATTCATAATATCAGTGATTAATTTCTTCATTTCTTGAAAGTTTACAGCCCATACATTGTCGAAATTCGATTTATTGATCAGCTTCATCTGTTCTGCTTGCTTCTCTATATCATTAAGAGCGAATTGTAATACGCGGATTTCAGCTTTCATTTTCTTCCTTGCTGCTGCTGCTGCGATTTTGTGCTCGGAGACTTGTTTTCTGAGTATAAGGATATTACGTTTTACTTTGGCTACCCGTTTTTTCTGTAAAATATTAATTAAACTGTTTTCCTCGAAACGGTTTTGCAAAATTAAGTAATTATAATCGGTTATCTCGGATGTCTTTAAGAGTTGTGCTTTTGTGTTCTGTAGATCGCATTCCAAGTCTTCGGCTGCTTTTTCTAATCTAATTTTAATAGCATATGTTTCTCGTTCTTGGTTTTTCTGCAAATTAGTTAATTCGTGATAAAAAAGTTTACAATAGTCTGCTTCTTTTATAATTTTTTTTTGATTGTCATCCATGGACTGATCAAATATTTTTTCCCATTTCAATTTCCATTTATTTTTTTTCCTTTCATCTTTAATTGCTTCAATTAGAAGCTCCATTTGTTTTCTATATGAGTCTTTTATCAACTCTACTTGGGCATAAACTCGACTGGTGAAATGTTCAATATCTGTTTCTTTTTGTTTCTGATCTATGAAATATTGTTCATGTAACCGTTTGGAATGTTCTTGGCACTTTCTGATTAAAGTATCTTTACGATCTAGTATATCAGCCAATCGCTTCTTTTGTTTTTCTAATTCTACAAAAGTTTCATATGGTTCCTCGATATCTTTCAGGCTTAGCCATCTATTTTCAATGTCACCCATTTGATCTATCATCTGTAAACTTTCATTTTCAATAGTAGCTGCTAATTTATGCAGTTCTTGAGGTTCAACTACCCGACGCTGCGCCTCTCGTTGTTCACTTGCTACCCTAATGTTATCTAGTAATTCCTTACCAATTTTTAATAATGATTCAAAACTTTTGTCATTTTCTTCCAAACATCTTTCAATGCCCACCTTATCCTCTAGTGCTTCATCAGCTAGAGTTTTGGGTCCAGCTTTTTCCTTGAGGTTTGCAGCTTTAAATATGTTTACACGTTGTGTATCTAATTTGAAGTATGGAGAACGTTTCTCATTGCTAAGATCTAACAGGTTAAGTTTATCGGCAAGGTTTATTTGCTCTTCGTGAAATTCTTCGTGCAATTCTTCGTGCAATTCAGTTTGATCCAAGGAGCTGGATTCTTGAGAGATTTTATCAGGTTCAATGTATAATGTGGCTATTGATTTTATATCATCTGGATTAATGGTACTTTCACGCTCTTCCGATTGCTGTTCTTCCTCATTTTCTTCACTAGCAGATTGCAGTGCATTGACTTCACTGATTGACACACTCCATTCTTCTGAATCAACTGAAGCCAATATGACCTCCATGTTGAATAATGTAATGGCCAAATCACTATAAATTTAAATATAATAAAAACCATAAATAATGTATAAAAGCGCGTGCAAATTAAAAGAAAAAAAAAAAAAAGACAGAGAGCAAAAACCGGAAATTAAAAAATAAATTAAAAATAAAATGTCAAACAAATAAAGTAAAAATGTTAAGGAAAAAATATATGTTTTTACTTCCAATTGAAGTAGGCTAAGGAAAATTTGTTTTTAAATAAAGATTGGAAAAGCGATATGGGATAAAATATTCATATTTATGGCTCTTAAATAAAAATATCTCCGTACTTCATCTTGCGTTAAGCCATTTATGGATCAGTTGGAAAAAAATATGCATTTTCCATCGGTAAAACGGGGTGAAGTAAATGCATAGCCGGTTACAGACCAATTGGATTTTATTATACTTATTTATGAAACTGAACCCGTATTTTGTAATATTTTTGTTTAGTTACGAATAATGTGCTGAGTTCTCAGAAAAAATCCAATTTCTTAGTTTAAAACCTTTTCGTCTGGGTGGTTAAAAAGTTTCTGTTCTAATGCAAAACACTCTAATTTCACATGAAAAAGATTAACGTTTATACCGTCAGCTCGATTTTATTGGAGGGTATTTGTGTATGATTATTAAATCTCAATAAATATGCAATAATACAAGATTTCAAACATATATTAACTTTCATATGAAAATATTCGAAAACAATAGAAAATTGCAATATAATTTTCACCGAAATGTTCTAGCATATTTTCATTTACTTTATAGGTGTACTAGATAATGAAACAATCGTAGGATAAAATTAGATAAATATAAGGTAAATTAATAATAATGAAGGTATTTCTACTGCATCCATTGAGCTGAAGTTAATAGAAAATGCTTTAAGTAACTTTTAAAGGTTTTTTTAAAAAACTTTACTACTAAAAAGTTTTTATAAAACAATGTTTTGAAAACAATTATGACATTACCTTAAAAGTTAATGGCGAATGTAGGAGCACCAACGTTGAAAATCTTCTACAACGCTTTAACATATCATGAGAATTAATTCATGCAGGTAACTCAGTACATAGAAAATATTTTCTCACGGAACTTATTGTTTGCATATTAGAACTAAGTAATTAAAAAGAATATAATAAAGAAGCGAAATTCGCTATATTTCATTAACAAATTTATATAAGATTTCAGACATTTAATTTCGCTGGAACGCAATGCTAAGAGTGAAATACTGCCGTCCTTTTCAATCTTTTATTACTTAATTGTTGTACTAACAAGAGGAAGTAGTTTCTCTTTTTTTCTGTACTAAGTAATTCATTTCCTGCTACTGCTAAGCCATAGAGTAATATTTTTTGTAGATGCAGTTGTAATAGAAAAAAAAAGAAGATTGGAAAGATTTATTTATGTATTTTTCTATACTAACTAAGTCCCTTGTTCTTATTCAGGCTATTATGTTTTGTATATAGTATCTATCGCAATTATTCTATCGAAATAAATCCATCATATTGAAATAAAAGAAGGAACGTTGGAGTTTTCATTATTATATTATTCTACACTAAACTATAAACATCGGAGAACTCAAATATAATGCATGAAACTTTTTAAGAATTTTTGGGGTTTTGAATGGCCTCATAGGAATGGCCTTCAGTAAGCGACTAATATCATCTTAATAAGCATTCGTTTTACTCGAGTATTTGAAATAGATTTGTCCATAGCTATTACAGCTTATTTAGTGTCTTTTAGTAGAATTAAAGGTATAAGGTATATTAAAGTTAAGACTGCGGGTATATGTGAACAATTTCCAATTTCCAACAATTTTTCCAAGGACATTAGGCCAATTTATTTATGCAACCGCATTAATTAATTTATTTTGAGCGTAAGAATATATGAAGCAAAATTTTTTAATTAAATTTTAAATATGAAAGCCAATAATAGTTAAAAAAAACCTTTTTATGAAACTAATAATTAAATTCTTTAAATTTTCAGCAGTAAAAAATAATATATTTAAAAGCTTTCGCATAATTTTATTTAAAAATATTTGCATTATGATATATAGTTTAACTAATTTACTGCACCACATAAATTATTCATTTAGTTTAATTAAAATATTATCAATATTAAACAAATTTTATTTATAATTTTGTTCACGAATTCACAATCGCAAATTAGTTAATTTGAATTAAAGTGCAAAACATAAAATTGTCTGACTGACACAATTTCATATAATTTTTTCATTCATTATCTTTTTACCCATTCTCTCCTGTAGATATGCAATAATCGAGCAGGTCTCAATCCTCCCAAAATGTCAATTTAATTGAAATTAATATTTGAAGGTATCTTGTATACGGCCCGGTGTAATTTTTCTGGGCAAACGCGACATTCACCAAACTGCATAAATTAAAATAAAAAATTTATATTAAAAGCAAAAATATAAAAAATATAAAAATACATAAAAATGAAATTGTAAGCAAAAAAAAGTGATATAATTTATAACAAAAAACAAAATCGAAAAAAAAAGAAAAACAAAAACAAAACGAAAAAGAAAAAGAAACTTTAAGCATTTGGTCCTTTAAGTTGAATTGAAATTACAAAAAAAAAGTCCTAGAAAGGAGCAGGAAATATTTTAAGCTCAGCACCGAAAAAATTAAAAATAAATCGTCAAAATGATGGGCACTATGCCGCCAAGGTAGATATGAAATTTATTTAATCTCTTTATGAAAAACGATATATATTTTATATAGTTTATTTTAAATATTTGTTGAATTCATTACTAAACTTATTCATAAAAAATATTGTAAAAAAATCAAAAATAAAAAATAGCAAAATATTTCTTTTTAATTGATTTTTAATAATGAAACTATTTGAAATTTTTTTTTTCTTTGGCTCACATATTTTTCACTGTAAATATTTAAAATTTTTTTTGCGATATTCATCAATGGAATTTATTTCAAAAAATATTATTATTATTTTTTCAACAAATCGATGTTTGTATATATTTATTTTCATTAAAATTAAAATTATTTCACTGGTCGCTAAACAACCGATTTACAATATTTTTACATGTGAAATCACAACAAATCACTGCCATTTCTGTCTTTTCTGTCTTTTCTGTAACGAAAATATTTACTTACATACTTTACATACTTTTTACTATCTCAACACATCAAAGTGGAATGGTTCTCTCACCACTCAATGAGTATGAAACTGAATTTGTTAACTTTCTCATAATACTACATAAATATCATATTATATCTAATTTATCTCCATTTTATTCATTTTATTCATTTTTACTATAAACTTTAATTAATTAGAAATATCTTAACTCTTAAATATTTCCTATGCAAATAATGTATGTAAATATTTTACAATTCTTTTTAATCGAAAACAATTCATTCTCCATTCATCCATGCTGCTAATCTATTTTAAATTATTAACCTATTTACATAATCTCACAGATATGAATTTGGCTTTATTGTTCAGTTTTTGCATAATTTTAATATAAGCTTTAGGATATGAAGTCTTAGGTATGAAATTTTGAAAATATAGCTTTTTCTTTATTGGGAGATAATATGAATAAAGTAAATAAAAGTACAAAAGGACTCAACTGATAAATTCGTTATTCATTATAATGTTATGTATTAGATCCCTTTGAAGCAATTTATAATAATATGTTGACACAAAGTTAGCAATAACATAACTTGACGAATAGTCCTTGCGGAATTTTAAAAGCGTCAAGAGTTTGAGGATTATCCGCATAAACACGGAACTTTGCGTAACCCCACAGAAAATCCGTTTTGTGTCTAAATCGTATGATCTTGGTAGCCAATTCAAGATACAAAGTCAAAAAAGGATTCATTTTGTGAGTTGTGGTACCATCCTATGGAAATCATACATTCTCCACGTCGTTATTTTCAATTGTACTCATTTTTCTCCTTCCTTACAAGGTTGTGCCATTCGTTATAAGCATGACTTATGACACATTATTTTAACAGTGCATTGAACTGTACATAGCAAGAGCAGGCTTATTACTTTCAGTGACGAATCCAGTAGGAATTAGAGGTAGATTAAATTATTTTCAATCGGGCGTAACTTGCACAGTATGTTGTCAGTTCTCCATATTATGTTTTATAGCTTGATAATTAGGTTGTTTTTGGGGGATCTTTATAAATATATATTTTACACGTAGTCATTACTTTTATATCCATTTCTCATATTTCCTGTATATCGTTTTAATTATAATGTGACTATTTGCCTTCTACAAAACTGGGGAATCTTTATAAATATATATTTTACACGTAGTCATTACTTTTATATCCATTTCTAATACTTCCTGTATATCGTTTTAATTATAATGTGACTATTTGCCTTCTACAAAACTTATTGTCCTGCACTTCGACCATTAAAATGCGATTTCAATATAGTTACTGAAGATTTGCATTTAGTACGTATTGGTCTTATAGGCATGAATATATAATATATGGTATGATCATAATTTTAGTCTACAACCAACAAGTTTTGAATTGATTTCGTATAATTATCAGTACAAAAACTGTAAAATCAATCAGAATATACCATTTCAACTCACCGCTCTTAGCTAGTCCTGAACTAGTTAACGAAGAAAAGCCAACTTCAGTTATTTAATAAATATATTGACTCTTTTTATTTATTTTTATTGAAGCGAATAATAAAAATAATATGTTTCTAGTACTTTTCGTATAGAATTTATAGTACACCAAAGATCAAAAATAAAGTTTGAAGTGGTATATAATATTATCTTGAATTGATTATACATGTGTTTTGAATGCTGGTATTATGCTCTATGAGTGATATTTAAATATGATATGATATAAACAATTTTCAAGATATACCTCACTGACAAATTTTTTTTTTGTAGATTAAGATCTCTTAATCTTTTAATAAAGAAACTTGAAAGATATTTTAAAATGAGTTGCTTTTGTTTTTTAGATTAAAAAACTTAATATATTATAAAACTTTACTTTATTTATATTCAACTAATGAAAGTATCATTAGTTTTAAGTATTTGTAACATTAATATTTTAAGTATTGTAAGAACCTGTAGGGGGTAGTGGGTAAT